CTGGTGAACGAGTCAGTAGTCGCTGTGCCTGAGAAACAGGAGCAGGGACCTGTGCTGGATGAAGCACCGAATACGCCATCAGGTCCCACCGTCGGTTCCCAGGCCCAGCTGCTCTATTAAAACATCCACTGCCTGATTTACTGCCACTGATCCTAGTTGCTAGGTTTTCCGGGGTCCTAAAGCCAAATGCTATCTCCATCACCTGGAAATTAATTCTGTCTTCATCAAAAGAGTGAGTTTGGCTTTGCACCAGGACAGTGGACAGCAGCATCTGGCCACTCCTCGCTTTACCTGTGGCAGATCCCATCTCATGGAGGAGGCAGGAGACAAGAGAAAACTGGGCAGGGGAACTGCCCAGCACTGCAGAATTTCCTCCATCCCATGATACAGGCTGTGTGCTGTGGTATAATGGGGGCTCCAGACCCCTTAGCCCTCACTACTGCCGACCAGGAACTTTACAGCCCAGACTTACAGGCTTTATTTGTTAAATGTCACCAGCTTCTGATGAGTCAGAGTCCTGCTTCTCTGCAATTTTACCCAGTGCTTTGCGCAAGGCATCAGGCTGTGCTGTGCCAGCGTCCCTGCAGGCATCACACTGCCATTGTTGGACTTAATCTTCTTCAGGAAGGAGAGCCTTATGCTGCCAGTGCCTATGCAACCAGATCTGCCAGGAGCTCCGGCCGGGATGGACACATTCAGCCACCCTGTGCCTCTGGGACGAGCAGACACATTTGTGCTATGATACCCTTGAGCAAAGGCTACAGCTGGGATCTCTGGCCAAGGCATTCCCGCTCCTCTTGTAACCATGATTCACAGGGCCTAGCAGTGAAGGTTGTTCCCCAAGATCACTATGAATCAAAAGACAAAAGAAAGGGTTTCAAAGCCCGTGACTCCTACAGACAGACCTCTGAAAGCTATTCCGTATGTCTGCACATGTATGTGTTTGCAAACATAAATGTATATGTGTGTCTGTGTCTAGGTGTGCAGAGATGTTATGGTTTCAAATAAAACACTTGGAAAGGCAAGAGTTAAGGCTGCTAATGAACCATCCCCATACACTTTGAGTACAGAGATGTTTACATGATCTTTTAATTCTCTTACCCCTCCTCTCCTAGCCTTGGTAATTGCAATTTGGCATTTCCCTTATTGCTTCTCCATTACTTAGTGCCTTGGTTACCAAGTCACACTTGGAATTAGGAATGATTCCCTTCTTCGAGGGATTTCCCATGCCACCCCACACTGCAGAAATGGGACGGAGCCTGCCATGCTGAGACATGCTGTGACAAGGCCTCCTTCCTGGGGACAGCAGCCGAGCACAGCCAGAACGGAAGCGCTCAGGTGGTGGTTTCCTGGACCATCAGCCTGAGATGCCGTGGGCCTGATTTTTCTGAGTTTCCGGTGTTGCTACAGCACAATATATATTTTGATCTCAGCTCCCACTGATTTCACTTGCAGCTCTCCCAATAATCAGGCAGCCAGTGTTCAAGTCAGGCATCCAGGAAACAACAAACATAGCGTTATCGACCACACATGAAAAGTTTGGTTCAAGGGACTCCCTTGGTATCTCACAAGGACAAGGAGGCAGAGGCAGGGGTAAGAAACCCAGTGTCCAGGGCAGCAGTCGGTAAAGTTAAATTAGCACTGCTTTTTCTCCATTCTCCCACCTCCATCACTAGCATGTCTCTCTCCACTGAATGATGCAGGCAACAGCTTCCACTGCACAGCCTATGTTTTTCTGTACATGCTGCGTACTGAATGAGGCAGGTATGTTATGGGAAAAATATAAATGTAATAATTACTGTGAAAGACTGTTGTAATGCATAGACACAAAGGGATGAAAAGAGCTGCATTAACATTCTAGCATTTGCTCATTTTTGAGTTCATGTCTCATGCATCCCTAACATGCTTTGAGACAGCTCTTACAGCCAGGTTCCTTAGTCAAAGAAATGGAATTTCCCCAAAATCCTAGCACGATGCTGACACCAGTGGCTCAGACCACTGTGCCACAGGCTTTCACCACACAGCCCTGGGTGGGAGCTGCTGCTTGAGCAGGGGAGATGGCGGGGTTTAGAGCTCCCTGCTGTCAGTTCACCAGTGTTGAAACCCAGGAATCCCAAAACGATTTCCAGGGACTGGAAAGGAAATGCTTGTGCTCCAGCCCCATCAGACAGCACCTCTTCCTCTTGCTTCCACTCAGCCTGTTTCCACCTTCTTTCGGGTCTCAGTCACAAGTGGGAGCAGTCCAAGTCCCAGCGTCTGCTGCCCCGAGCAGCTGCAGTAAAAGCGGACCCAAGCCCTTGCTGCTGAATGTGCTCCAGAGATTGAGTGAAGTTGCTAGCTGCCATCAAGCCTTGAAGCACAAATAAACCATGATTTTCCATGCCTGTATCAATTAGACAAATTTGGGTGGATTTTCTTGGGGATAGTCTAATCGTAGGGTAACTGCTGGTGAGATTCATGTCCTTCCTTCAAATGCTCTCTGTTTTTTTTCAGACTGAGAGAGTAAGAGAAAGAAAGATTGTGGCACAGAAAACATCAGCTCAAGTGGTGTTGGTTTCACACAATTACAACTGACAGGAAACAAGACTTTAAGGGGAGCCCTCAGTCTAGGCCTCTAGGTGGCTTCACCCCAGAATGCTTCACAGAGGTTCTACCACTCAGGACCATGGGTGGTGGAAGACAGCCAGTTTGGCCCTATGAGGAAGAGCTTGCGGACCTGCCAGCGGAGGAAGCATCTCTTTGCCCATGAACTGACAAGATCTGCCCCCCTAGAGCTCCTGCTCCAGCACCTTGCCCAGCCTGACATGCAACACCTGCAGATATCACAATAGCCCACTCTTGTAAGTAGTTCTCGTGAGAGAGGGGCACCCTCTTTCCTCTAGGTAAAACAGAGGGGAAAAATTAATACTTGGTATGCATAGAGCATTTTTCTACTCCATAACCTGTGTGATCAGGCCATGTTCTGTATGAGCTGAGGCCATTCCACCAAACACATTATTGCCAGTGAATCCTGTTGCTGGTTTGCTGTAGCTCTTGCTTGGAGGGTCCTACCACGTCCTTTCCACTGGAAACTCCTTGGTTCCGAGGAAAATAGCTCCAGGACCTCACACTACAGCCCAGTAAAGTCTCATGCATGGAGCATTACATTCGCACACACTCTCTCTCCATGGTGTACACCTCCAGAACTGGCAGTGCTCCACGGCGCTGGGCATCAGATGTGCTGGCTCACCAACTCTTCTGGCCTGCAGCTGCCAGCACCTTCCCTGCAGCATAGCTCAGCGAGGCCTGGACTGCCTCCTGGGAGGAGGTGAAATGGGAAGAGGGCTGTTCTGGTCCACCCTGAGCTCTTCTAAAGCACCTCTGTCCTCCTCCGTAGCCTTCCCTGCAATCCCAGTTTGTGTCTGCTGGAAATTTTAAGTTGTTCTGAAGGCAGCAAGTTAACAAGATTTGGAAACCAGGTCAGCGGAAGAAGCTTAATTAGCTTGCTGAACCATGGGGACCAGCTCACATCGTGTCTGCTTTATTGACTCCACGAATGGACGTTATTGATACGATAGACGTGGAGCCTCACTGCATTGGTGTCACGTGCTCTCCCTTAAGGAAGCAACGCCCCGGGTGCTTGTCAGACACAAGGAAACTTTACAGATGAAGGGCACCAAAGCATTGTCATGGGATGGGCCAAGCAATCCCGCCATGCTGTATCAGCAGCACTGTTTTTCCTTTCCTGGTTTGCCCCTCAGCCTCCCGGGGCCATCCCAGCTTCCTAAGCTCCCCTCCCTCCCACTGCTGCTCCTGCCATTCCCACCCAAGCAAGCAGCCCTCTCTTGAGGGCACAGAGCTGAAGGGGAATGGCAGCACGTTTTGCAAGCGAGCTGGCTGCATCACCAACAGCACAGGCATAATTCACATGACCTGCTACCTGTCATGTCACCACAAACATCTGCTTCCATAAAACAGCAAAAGAAAGGAAAAGCAAAAGGCCCTCCCTGGGAGGTGCTCCAGCCTGAGGAGCAGGAGAGATGCAGTGCTTGTCATGCTGCATAAAGAAACCCCTTTCATTAGAGGCAAGATTGTAGCTCAGCTCTTTGAATCGCAGCAAAGCTTCTCGGCGGCTCCTCAGGCAGGGCTGGCACAGCCCCCATCTCTGCTCACACTTTGCAGTCGGCTGTACCCTGGGAGCAGCTTTGCTGGGTAATGCTTTATTCTGATAGATAACGTCTTACAAACAAAACAAAGAGCTAGTGGCTTTGAAGTCCTTCGAGGAATCCTGTGATGCCGGCAGAGATGGCTCCTTGCTGTTTGTGAGGGAAGAGCCTCCTTTCTATCCTCCAGCCAGGTGCAGTGTGGACACCCCTAGACCCCTTCCTGCTCCCTATGTGGGACAGACATCCAAGGTGCCTTGCATGGGCCGGCTATGAGAGCTGGGGGTGGACAACCTAGAGAGCTACCTGAGGGGAACCTTGGCACAAGAGGAGAACCACTTCTTCAGCATAAATCATACTTGCCCCAGGAGAGACTGGCCCAGGGGCTGGCAGGGAGCAGCTCCCTGGCAGGATTGGGGTGAGCGAGCGCTCCACGCTGTGTGCACAGAGGGACTCCCCATAGCAGGGAGGGGGCTGGGGGCCCTGGGAGCTGAAGGCAGAGCTTCAGGCAGGACCGAAGGCAAGGCAGAGGAGCTGAGCTGCAGGCCGGCCAGCGAGCAGAGAGCAGCGGACGACTAAAGGCAGGGCAGCAGGCAAGACTACAGCCCGGCGAGAAGGCAAAGCAGGCAGA